GGAAAACTCCAGACTGGCAGGTGCTGGAAACTACCTAAGAACATAAAGGCTGTGGCAGCTGAAACAGGCTGAGGTCCTCCTGGGTCCTTCAGGTGCTGCTGGAAATACAGGAGTGGCCTGGGTCACCCTGTTTTTGCCAGGGGCAGCCAATGGCATGGACACTTGGTCTGATCTGACCTGTCTCCTCAGGCCCTTCCAGAGAAGGTTGAATGATTCAACTGGGAACCTGGGAGCAGGTGGGGACTTTGGCCTCTTGCCTCCAGACACCACTGCCTGACTGGTGGGGAATCAGATAAAGGGAAAGGAACCAGAGAAATGCCTGGGTTTAGAGGCTCCGGGTAGATTTCCTGGTGTTCTCAGCCTTTTGAGTCTGAAGAGTAGAGAGACCACCCCTCCAATGCTTCTATCAGAGCTGAGGGCAGAGGGGAGGAGGCCACCTCCCCAGGCAAGGCCTGCCTCACCTTGGGAGGAAGTGGGGATCAAGTGGTAGGTTTTATTTTTTCTATTTATTTTTCCACAGTATTTGTTAATCATTTATCTATCAAGAGAACTATTCCTTTGCTCAAATGTTCATGTTTCATAATTCAGGAACACAGGTCAGTGACTAGCTTCTACGGAATTCAACCCAAAGAAATTCTTCACATTCCAAGATCGCTTTGCCCTCGAAAGATGCCAGTCTTCTTCTTCCCCCCCAAATCTTTCATGGAATTACAGTGGAAATCTGCATGTGCCTTCTTTCTCGGGTCAGCCACAGCAAACTTACAGAAAGCTGCAACCCCCAGGGATACAAGGATCACTCCAACAATGTGAAATCGCAGACAGACGCTTGGCCAGAAGGCCACGCATCTGAGGTTTCGTCAAAGCACTGGAAGTGTTGCTGGACAGACCTGGCCCTGAGCAGATCTGCCTAGAAACAGCTGTAGTTGTGGGTTCTTGACTTTGTTCAGGAAAAATTTCACAACACGAGTCCAGGTGACTATGACGTCATGTTTATTAAAACTGGGGACAGTGAAACAAGAGTTAGGGTTAGGGTAGAAGACGCAACAGGAGAGCCTAGGTGGGGCTGCCTTAGTTCTCTGGGCAGTCAGAGAAAAGGGGTCCTTGGGGTCAGGTTAAGGGAATTAGCCTGGGATGGGCTGCCGCTGCCCATTGCTCCCCTGGTTGCAAGTCTCTCGTGGGGACCCTTAGTGTTTAGGATATTTGTGCCTGTTGGGGAAGAAGTGGGGAAAGGGAATGGGGGGCTGCTCCCCAGAAGGAGAGCACGTGCTGGGTCCTTTGTTTTGAGGCTTTTCTCTCTCTTGCAGGAGGGAATCTTAGAGGAGGTCTCAGGGTGGGTTTCAGCAGAATATTAATTTTCCAGGTGTGTTTTTTCAGGGTCATGGTCTCTACTGATTGGTGAGTGCCAGGGCAGGTGGTCTTTAGTCATTGCAGCTGGTCCTGGTGTCACCCACCTGGTTTTGCTGCTTTTCCGGGCCTGGAGCTGAAACACAACTGAGGCCGAGATGTTATCTCTAGGGAGGTGACCTGCATCTGCTTTAAATTGTTCTGCCAGTTTGTTCAGCTCTGTCAGTTGCCCCATTCCACTTGTCCTGGCTGACTGGCCTGTCTCAGAAGCCCTGCTAGTTATTCTCAACACCAGCATCCTTCCTGACTCAACTGATAGGTTTTGGAACCCGGGCCCCCTTGGCTGCCACATACCCAATCTTTGTCCTCCTTGGGGCTTCCAACCATGTATCTTGGGGGCTTAGTGGTCCTAGGAGCAGGCCTGCGGTCACCTTGGGTGGGCCCGTGTGTGGAAAGGGCTGGGGTCTCAGTGTCAGGTCTTTTCCCTTACTCCTAGGACAGAACACCATTTTGAATTAGGCAGGGTAGCTGGGGCAACCCCAATTTTAAAATGAGTAAGCTGAGGCCCTGAGCAGTGTGATGATTTCCCAGGGCCCTTCGCATGATCAGCAAGGGTAGGGCAGAACAGAATGACAGATGGGCCCTTTTTCCTGGACAGCTCTGTGCTGGTAGCTGCTCCAGGGCTCCATTTGAGGCCTGGTGAGTTTCTGCGATGAGGTGGACTGTGGAAGTTACAGATGTATATTATAGACCCTAAAGCAACTAGTAAAATAACAGTTATAAATAATAAGCCAACAAAGGAGATAATAAAGGAAGACCCAATTATATGCTGCCTGTAAGAAATGTACTTTATTTATTTTTAAATTTTTATTTATTGATTT